TGATGAGGTAAATAGGAGTCTCATATTGATGACCAAGAGATATTTTGAAGTCTAATTTGCAAATTTGATAATATTATCATGATTGGATTTATTTTTATCATTTTTATTTTATAGATTAAATTTTTAGTTATTTGCTTTTTACTATTTCTTAGGAGAAGAAAAGGGTTTAAATTAAGATTACTAGATAAAATTTAGAGGTTTTATAAGTCATCTAAATAGAAAAAGGTAAAATTTAGCGAAATTATATTAAAATTTTATTAAATATCTGTAAAATTCTAGAAAAATATAAACTATATCAAAGCTTATAAAATGTGAAACTATATTAAAATTTTAGTAAAAAATTAGCAAAACTATAGTTTAAATATTTGCTAAATTTAAATGGGTTTAGATAAGCAATCTTAGTTTAAATACAATAACAGGAGTTTATAATTATGAAATTAAGCTGATTGATAACATTAATATAAGTATTAAGTTTGGTAGTCTTGTAGAGCTAAATAGTTTTTATAATAATTTTGTGATTAATAGTCTAAAATTAATAAAGCAAATTTTACTATTTTTAGTAATTTCTATGAAGTCTTTATCTTTAAAATAAAAAATAGTATATTAAAGGTTTCTGTAGTTAACATATGACTTGAAAATGACTCAGGTAATCATTTCAATTGCATTACTTATAGAAATCAGATGATGTCCATTAATATCAAAAAAGAGGTTAATTAGTTTTAAAAAGAATACTAATTTTTTTCTAACATCTTCAACTACCATAGTATAAGGATCAACTTTAATTAAATCTTCAAAAAAAATAACTATTGAATTTATTCAAAATAGTCATGTCAGTATCTTGCTTATATGAAATAATAGCTTGCTATCAAAGATTCTTTATTGATATAATATAACGAGAAATCTTTTTAAAAAAGAAAAGTTCAATTTAATGTTTGATTCAGTAGTTGAAATTGAAATCTCAATGAGACAAATTAATAGCTTAAAAATATATTTAGCTATTGATTTAATCGTGAGAAGTAAAAATGTGTTATTATTTAAACAAGGAATTTTAAATATAATTGCATTATTAGCCTTAGTATGTAAGGTAAAACTAATTTGAATGATTCTTTTTGTTAAATTTTTAGAGTATATACAGATTGATATATTAATAAAAAAATGAGTAATATAGTATAATGCTTTCATATGTTTCATTTATTTATCTTTATTAGATTTTTCAGGGTAGAATTTTTCTGTGATATAGTAAGTGAAGAAAATTGAGGTTTTTATTTCTTATTCTAAGTGAATTCTACTTTTATTATTTTATTTATTATTAAAATTATTTTTAGAAACGTCAAAGATTTAGTCTTTATTTAAAGAAACTTTTTCATTATTATTAGTAGTTTCTAGGTCTTTTTTTTTTATTAAAGTTAGAAGTTAAAAAAATTTTAACTTTTATATCTTCAAAAAAGTGATTAGAAAAACTTCTACTAGTAAGTAAGGTTTCTATTTATTTTATTAATTCAATATATTATTTCTTGCAAAATGTTATTATTGATCATTTTCAGGTAAAGAAAAGTAAGTTTGATTTGACTTATTCTTGTTATTTTGAGTGATTTTTTTCCTATTATTTTTTGGTTTTAATGATTGACAAAAAGAGTTTTTTTATATCTTATTTTAATAAAAAATAAAAAATTTTAATTTTAACTAAATATAGTAAATTACTTACTTTTTAATTCTTTTATTTCATCAATAAATAATCATAAAATATATTAAAATTCTTTAGTTGATTTAGTCTAAAAATCAAGAAAGGAATTAATAAATTTTTTTTTATTATAATAAAGAATGTAGATTATTATTTATTAATAAAAATCATCAGTTTTTTATTTAAATATTTGATATTTATTATAAAATACTATAAATTCAACATCTTATTTATCACTAAATAAATTTTTTTCTAATAATTCATTATATATTTTTTCATCAAAAATATCTTTTAAATCTTTAAATTCAATCTCCTTATTAGTAATATAATAATATTAATAAAGTAATTCTTTAGCTTTTATTTTATTATTATATTGAATTTCTAATTTTTTTTAATAAAAAGATATAGTATTACTTTTTTGATTATTTTTTGAATTATATCTCAATGAATTACATAATAAATAACTTTAATAAATTTTATAAATTCTAATATAATATATATAAAAATTTTTACATATATCATAAAATTTTGGAATAAGTTCTGTAATTTCTTCTAATATTTTTTTTAATTTTATATAAACTAATATTTTTATTAGTAAATAATTTGATAATATCACTATATGCTACTTTTGTAAAATTATATAATGATTTAAATGCAAAAGTTTAAAGCTTTCTATAATTTTTTTTATTTAATCCTTTTCAATATCAACTTGCATTATATCATCTATATCTTTATCTTTATCTTCATTTTTATTATCATCTTTATCATTAGTTTAATTAATATTATAATTTTTATTATTTACAATATTATCTTCTTTTAAGATTTTCTCATTTATAGATAAATATTCTATTTTATTTATATTTTTTTCATCAATTTGAATATCAATTTTATTTTATGTTATCTAAATATTCCTTTAAATTTTATTAATTATTATTATATAATAAATAAAATATTAATTAAATTAAAATTTATAATACTTATTTCATTATTTTTAAATTTAAACTTATATCTTTTCTTCAACTTTTTCTTCTTTTCACTATTGCTTAATTCTTTTTTTTTTGACATCTGATTTCTTTTTGATATTTATAATAAACACTTTTTGTTACAAAATTATTATTTGGATAATTTTTTAAAAAAAATCCTTCAAAAATAATTTAGATAAGTAATTTTAATTTATAATTTACAATTATAATATTAAGCAAAAAAAAGTATAAATAGATGGATTTTTAAAATAATATATATATTTTAAGAATAAAACCTAAATGAAAATATAATATTAATTAATAAAATCATAGAAGGAATGTAAAGAATCTTTCAGATTTTCAGATTAAAATAAAAAAACAAAATTAGTAGCATTAAATTAATGATAATTTAATTTCCAATCAAAAAATAATATGCTATATATGGATTTTCCGATTATTATTTATAAGCCATATGGCACAATTGATTTCAGCCACGTTTAAAGTATGAACATTAGAGAATTTCGATCATCCAAAGAGACTAAAGCCATAACCACGATCACAAAAGCCAAATATATAAGCCATAAATAAGAAAGATAAATGTAAGTTTCACGTGCCATGTTATCAAATTTTTTATATAGTAAATTACGTAATTAGAACCTTTTGTTTTCAGTGGACATTTATATTGTCTCGTTTATTATTATTGTATTTTTTCTTATGTCGTATTTCCTTTCCCTTTTTTTTTAATTAACCGCCATGACAATCCACATAAACATGTAACATAGCCTCGAAATAAATATTATTTAGTACTTTCAGCCATTTCTAAATCTTAATAGGCCAAATTTCAAATCGAGGCTTTGTCCATTGATTGAAATCACTTATTTTAATCATAAATTTATATAAATACATTGTTAATCAGCTTTATTCTTTACTGCAAAAGTATGCAATTTGAAAATTTAAAAGAAAATATGAAACAGAATACAAACAAAATTTTTAGTTTAATGATGGTAATTCTTTTATGTTTCGCAGCTGAAACATGTTCCGGTCGAAAATGCCAAATGCAGTTGTATGAACCTCAAAGTCATTTTATTGAGCCAATAATAATCCCTTCAATTCAAAATCCTTACTGCAATTATTCGCAAATTATTATTAAAAGTAGGAAATAAAATATATATACTGAAAATAAAAAAAAATCGATGTAAAATAATTTGATGAACTTTTATTTGCATAGATTACGTCCTAATTCAAATCTTTGCTTCATCCCGAGGCCAAATGATTTTTTATAAACGTATTGTAAGTAAATAAATTTAGTACATGTTGATTTGATATGAATGATTAATTCATCATCCTTTAATATATAATAGCCTATTTTCATCGGATCGAATTTCTCAAACGAGAAGAAAATCGAATCGAACGACATTTATCTTATTCAAATCTTTCAAGAAAGTTATCCTTATGCTAAAAGGGAATTTTCTTCTTTACCTACCATACATACAGGAAGATTTTATTTAAAGAAAAACTTGTGAAGAGGGTTTACGTTACATGGAATTGTCTGTAATCTCAAAATAAATAAATATCCTTTTCAATGTCGAAATATCATTTTAAAAATCTCTTATCTCATAATTGCGTACCTTCTCAAATCATGTATACTAGTGATATGATTAAATATAGATTGTTACATTACATGCCATTGTAATTAATTAGATGATCAATCAATCAAATTAAATTAAAAATCCGAGAGTAACATTTTCTTAAACTAACGCAACTTTAAAATTTTCATTTACGCGAATGCATAATTCAAAAAAAAAAAATTTTTTTTTATTAATGCTTTTATTATCGAAAAAAAATGTAAAATAATATTTTTGCAAAAAGTTTGATTTTTTTATCGGATTTTTTTTTTTTTTTTTTTTTAATCCAGTTCAACTTAGTTACTGTCTACATACTATGTATAGTATAACGAACATCCAATTCAAAATATACAAAACTTCTGTTGGTTGAGATCCTGATGTAAACATGCTTCATACTTACAGATTGCTTTGGTATGACGATGATGTTACTTGTTCATTATGAGGTACAAAGTTGAATTTATACATCTTTGTTGAAAGGTATGGATCAGGGACAATGATTTATTGTGATCACAGAATTTCACAGAAAATCACAAAATTTGGTTCAAGTTTTTGGCCTAATTTAGGATTTGCAATCATTGTAATTCCGGTAAACACTTAATTTGGGCAGAATTTACGAGTCGTAATGTTGGCCAACATTGCTTAATTCCGGCCAAATCACAAAATTTCACAGAATTTACTTTTATCACACACAAAATTTACTTTATATCACCACAAAAAATCATCGTCCCTGGTATGGATGTTGTGGGAGTTTCTTCTGACGAGTAAATGTAACCATATTTATTGCGATGTTATTGAATTATATTCTTTGTTAAATTTGTCTACATTATTGATGTGTTAAATTTTCGCTCTTGTAGAAAAAGCATTGGAATTAAAGCATTGGAACTGCAGCTTTTGGCGTGGTTGCAACTATTATTTTTATTTTAGATTGAATCAATGCCTCTTCCATCGAATAATCGACAAAAATGTAGGAAAGATGGTGAATTTGACAGAAATGGAAAAAAGATGGATGGCGATAATTACTAGTGAATTTTTATTTTGATAAAATGCGTCAATGTTTTTTCCTGAAGTCATGTGATTACTCCGCAGTCAATTTTCATTATTTCCATAGTTTGTTATAATAAATATCTAATTTATTTTTTTTTAAACTTGGATAATTCAAATGTTAAATATGTTAAGTTAAATATGTGAAGTTAAATATGTTAAAATTGTTATGTTAAATAGGTTATGTAAAAAGATAAGTATGTTGATACTGTACATAAATAATGAATAATATGATAATATGAATAAATATACATTTAAATGCTTTTTTTCAATAATACAAGTTGAAGTGCAAATCTAATTATCATATAAGTTTTTCACCTGAAACACTTCATAATCATCTAAAATATTGTCTTTATGATATAAAGCCCAGCTCATGTTGGGATATGTTTTGCAAGTACTATTTCTAATGATTTTATTATTTGTGATCTTCAAATCCCATCCACGACCAAAAGCCGGTCCACTGCTTTTATCATAACTTACTGCGTAACTTTGTTCTTTAACATTAGTAGCTATCTTCATAATGCGCCCAGAATTAATATTTTCTTTTGAAAATGAGAATAAAAAACTATCTGATGTCGATCGCCAACTTCTAGAGCACTTTTTTACAGTATTATAAGGTTCCCAACTAAATGGATTATATCCTCCAATTAACTTGCCATCAGCTTGTAATTTTGCAATCATAATCGTTGAACCTTTATTATCACATAGTTCATGAAATTTTTTTGCTTCAAATCCATCCCTGCTGGCACGATAAAGCAGTTTGAATAAATAAGGGATATTCCTAGAACAGTAACAAGGCTTTTCGCTTTTATCAATCCAACTTGCAATTCTTGATAAATGATGTTTATCGATAATACAAGATTCAAAAGAGCTATTTCTTGATGGCAAAATTACGTTCGATGATGATGTTCCTGGATCTAAATAATGTCCAATTATATCCCTAAATAATTGTTTAGGAAATATTAGTTCAAATGGACTAATTTTCCGCCAAAAATCTTTTGCAGGGATTTGAAACCATCTAATGTGTGGGATTAAATCAACAAGTATATCTTCTAGATCTCTAAAATTATCTAATGTCCACTGAGATACATTATCAACATCCAACCGAGTGGACATTCTTGAAATACCCCATTTGAGAATATAATTCCAAATTACAATTTCTTCCATTTCGAGGTCACATTTTAAAAGATGAATAATGAGTTCGCGTTCAAGTGATGCAAATTTGGGAGATTCAAAGAGGACTGTAGGATTTTCACAAATATTTTCCAAACAATAATTTCTTAATTCTTCAAGATTTTCATATTGAAATACAATATGGAGAATTTCAACGGGAGCATTTCTTAAAAATTCAGCTTGTTTGCTGATCAAATAAGGTATAATACGATCATTTAACTTTCGAAGACCAAACTCATCAGCTGCTTCATAAAGTTTCAACACTTGTACTTCGGTTTGATTTTCCAAGTCAACCATTCCAGTATAGATGTATTTTAATAATAATTCAAAGGTTTCCGGAGAAATGTTTGGTTTTGTAAAAATAATAACTCCATTTTCTTTTCGCGCCCATTGCTCTGACAATGCGGTCTTAAAGTATATCGACCGCTCTCTTAGAATTAATGCATGCGCAAAGAATCTTTTCGTATTTTGACCTTCTCCAGCTTTAATAATTACATCAAAACGATCTCCGCTAGAAAGAAGTCGTCCAATATCATTTGATAATTCTGATAAAAGGTTTAATCGTTCCCCCATAGTTTTTAAAAAATGAACGTTTAATAGGAAGAGTGGGTTTGTTGACGATCGCAGAATAATTAACTTAAATAGATTTGTAATAGCCGATAAAAGATTGTTGAATTGCTACTTTTGGTTGTGCAGCATTTGAGTTTGTAGTACTCATTCAAAATTGTTTCACTAACGGAATAAACGGACCCTAGGTTAAGCAAGAACAAATTGCCAAGCACTTTCAAATATTATTTTTAGCATGAATTTTTTAATAGCTGTTGATATATTTGCAATCTTTTGTCACATTAACATGCATGAAATTTGATGTTTTCACGTAAATAAACATTGTCTTTGTTCTGTTAATGCAGTTATATGATTTATTCTTTTTATTTTTTTCGAGGGATTTTGTATTTTAATCAAAATTAATTAAATACAAAGTAGATCTGTAAATGATGGGTATGTAGCAAACCTGTACAGTACGGGTTAGCAATGTATGTATGGTATGGTTTTTTTCATATATGTACTACCCATAAATGATTTAATTATAAAATTACTAAATTAATAATTTAAAAATAGAAAAAATTAAACTAATTTAAATTTAAGCTTAATTATAATTTATATTATAATTTTTAAACTTTAATTAATTTTAAAGAAAATTTTAATTTTAATTTTATTTAATATAAATAGAAACTTATTTCTTAAATCTTATTTTATTTTTTAATTATATAAAATTTTAATTGATAGATATTTTTAATATATTCTAATTCTTACTTTAATAATAAAGTATTTAATAAGTTAAAAGTACTTATTTTACTTCATAATATATTAATTTTTTTATCTTTTAATAATTTAATTTTGTATAAATAAATTAATATATAAATATATCTTTTTTATTTATTATTAAACTTTATTTTAAATATATAAAATTAATATTATTATTTTATTAAAATAATTTTAATAAATAATAAAATAAGTTTTTATTAATATTAAAAAAAAAGTATACTCACCTAGCAAAAATGACCGATTAACAATAATTTTACAATTAAATACCTCATTTTTAAATAAGTATATTTCGATAATTTACATATTAATTTCATATAAATTTTATATTATTAGATAGGTAAGAACTTACTGTTTAATATTATAATATTATTTTCATTCAATTTTATAATTTAAACATTTTTTCTTAGTAGCTAAAAAAATTTAAAATTTTTTCATTTTATTGCTGCTAATAGTAAACTCTATTGCATTCAATAGGTATTAATTATAAATATATATTATCTTATATAGATTTATAGCCTGATATTAAGCCTATAACTTTAATTATATTGAAATTTAATAAAATTTAATAAAAATTGGAACTTTACTTATAAGTGACTATTAATATTTTAATTTTATTTATAAATCTAATTTATTCAATAAATATTGATTATAAATATAAATTATTTTACAATAATTTGTAGCTCATATTATAATTTAGAACTTTACTTATTACAATATTTTATAGTTATTATTAAAATTAGAACTTTACTTAGATATGACCTTTATATTACTAGTTTCAAAATTCATATAACAATCATCAATCAATTACGATGATTACATCGCAATTTAGCATTTAACTGCATTGTGATGATCTCTGTAAGCATTTATTCAAATAAATCTAAAAATTTAGTATAATATATATTTTGTTATGCTAAACAAGTTTATTTAGTTACTAAAACTTAATTAACATTAAAAAAAAATCAAAGTTTAATTATAAGCGAAAAATTTGATAAAAATTATAAATTTTACAAATAAATTTTGTAATATAAAATTCAATAAAAGTTAAAATTTTATAAGATTTTCAAAAAATTATACAATTCATTATATTATACAAGTTACTTATAATATCAAAGTCAATTTAATTAATAAAAAAAAATTTTTTTTTATGACATTAATGTATATTTTATTATTCTGATTTTGAAAAAGTTAATCATATTTGCTAGGTAAGTATACAGTTAACTCTCTATAAATACACTCCCCTTAGAATAGGTATAAAGATATATTTAAAGAAGATATGTATTATAGAATATATATAAATCTATATAATACTAATATATAATTAAAGTAATATAAAAAAATTATAGTAAATTATATAAAATTTTTTTATAAAGAATGTATTTACAGAAAGTATATATATAAAAAATATGCATTTAGCACTAAAGGCCTAAGTTAAAATTAGATAAAAAGGTGTATATATAAAAAGTATATATTTATAGAGGGTGCATTTATAAAAAATTAAATATAATTAAAGATTATTTATAATATTAATAATTTATAATATTTTTAATTTTAAATCTAATTATTTATTATATTAGTAAATTAAATTTTAATATTTTATATTAATTTAAATACAAATTAATTAATATTAATATGAATAGTATAATATATTTTAATATATTTAATTAAAGTACATTATATATTTAAACTAGATTATTGATATTATAATATAATCTAAATAATATATATATAAGAAGTTCATTAGGAAAATTAAGCTCTAAGAATTTTTTTGACTAAAATTAAAAAACTTTATTACATTTTAATTTAATAATATCAAAAACTAAAATGCAATAAAAAGTAAAATTTGTTAATATTTTTCAGAGCCTAATTTTTTTAGTAAATTTTTTATATAATCTAAATATCATAAAATAATCTAAATAATATATAGAATCTATTTATCACAATATAATCTAATTATATAGTCTACTTTTATCTAGTTATATTAATATATTTTATTATTAAATTATTCTTTTTAATACTTTAGATATTTTTTTTAGATATTTTTATTATTCATATTTTTATAATATATTAATATAGTAATAATATCACTTCATAATCTAAATATTATACTATATTTTAATAAAATTACTACTATTTTTAGCTTATTTACACTTTTTTTATTATTAAAACTATCTACAGTCAACTCTTGATACAACAAATTTTGATATAACGAATTTCACAATACAACGAATCTTCAGTGTGATACAGATTATTTTATATTAAAAAAACCTTGTTATACTAAATTATACTAGTTAAATGATATATAACGTTATACGAAGAAAAATTTTAAACATAATATATAAAATGACCCTTATTGTAACAAATTACAGTTATAACAAATTTTTTTTTTGACATAACGAAGGAATTTTTTTAAGGATAAATTAATTTACTATAAAGATAACTTAACATTTATTCTTTTCTTAAATGTAGTAAATAAAGATGGCACCTCAATTAGTTGCAACAGGTGACAAATAGGCATCACAATGTTGCAACGAATTGCAACATTATT